GTTGTTTAACATCACAACTGAAGGTACAGTTAATGAATATTATTGAATTTGATTTTGTATTTACAAAATTATAAAAGTAATAAATGTATTATTTTTTTTTAATTTTTAGGTCTCTTTAATTATATGATTAATACAATTGGTTTTATTATTATTACATTCACTGACAGTCAGACAACACTTAGCGATAATATAACACAAATTGAATCAAACATAACAACAACAACAACTATGGGTAAGTAATTGAAAATTTATTTCTAATATATACAGTGTATATAAATATAGTACATATTAAATGATAAAATATTTCAAAAATGATAAAATTTTAGACTTAACAATTACAACAAATAGTATCAATGAACTAAATATTACATCATCAACTATTAGCACAATTGCCGATAATATAACTCAAATTAGCACAACTATATCACCTGATGGTAAGAAAAAAAACTACTAAAAAATAAGTTTCAATGATATTTAAAAATAAATTTTTATTTAAAAAGGAGAGACCAAAGAAAATTATATGTCAACAATCATATGGACTGCCGTTTACATTGCAATGTCGTTGGTGTTGATATCGGCGATAGTTGTCATCATTTATCGCAAACAACATAAAGTCAAAAACACAGTAATGACTACTGAATGGTATTATATAGACAACACTTGCGGACCGACTGTTAGTGATAGCAATGATTTTATTCAACCGTTTGATAACCACAACAACCTTAGGTGTGGACCAAACACTTTGATTAGACATCAGTTACGATATCAACGACAACAACATATGATTGAAAAATCAAAGCAATTAATACAACAAAAACATTTTTATAGACAGTATTATACTATTTAAAAGTTTATTATTATTATTATTTAATGTATAATATACTAAATTTGTTCAAATGGTTACATTGTATAATAAACTACTTAATTAATGTAATAACTATTGATATAAAACTACAAAAAAATTGTCTTATTATATGTTATATAAAAAAATTCAAATTTAACCAAAATAAATAATAGTTTTAACTGTTGATTATTTTTTAACACTATTAATTATAAGACTAAAATTATAAAATAATGATATAATTATTTTTTAAATAAAATAATAATATGTTACTAAATATATAACTATACTGTTTATATATAAAATAAATAATAGTTTTTTTATCATTGAATAAAATAATATGAGACATTTGTTAACAAAAAAAATATATATATAAACTAAATTATGTTATCATTTTATTTTGTTTTATTAATAATTTAAATGTAAATAACAATTTTGATTTTAAATGACAATTTCTACAGAAAAAAATCAACAATTATTAGTATATATAAATATTTATTGATTAATTTAGAAAAATATTTTTCCTGTATTTACTATTTTATAATAATATCTAAATATCAATTAGTAGTATTACTGGATATTATTTATTAACAATAAATATTTATTACAATATACAGAGTATATAACATAATTAAATTAATTGTTTTTCGTTAGATTAAAATATGAGACATTTATTTACAAAAATTATATAAACAGTTGCTATGATTTTAAAAAAAAAATTCAAACAATAGTTTGAATGTAAATAAAAAAATAGTGTTTTTAAATAAAAAATTCTATAACATAAATAACAAATTATTAATAAATAAATGTATAATCAATTTATTTTAAAAACAATGCATAATAATTTACTTAAAATTAGTTTAGTTTTTATAATTTTATACTACTATATATATAATACAGTAAATAAATTATATATTTAATTTATAGTTAGCATTATTATTGAATAGTTATTATTTTAAAATTATTTTATTAAAAGTTATTCAAATTCATTTAAAAATTCATATATGATATTATAATATATTATAATTAAGGTATATTTATATTAAATATTTTTATAGTACAATAACTTTAGTATTAATTTTTTAATATTAATTAATATTATAAAGATTTAAAGCAATCAAAGCTTATGCTAATATTTGTTTATTAATTATAAGTTATATCTTTAGTTAATATGATATATATTTTTTTAAATTAATTATTAGAAATAAATCAATAGATGCTTTGATATTTTTTAAGATTTAAAAAAATAATTCAATTTTATTTAATATTTATGAAAACATAAAAATTGTAATAAATTATTTTTATAAAATTTGTAATCCAAGACAATAATGTAAATATTTTTTAAATATTAATTATCACTAAAGAAACTTAAAACTATTTGTTTAAACATTATTATAAACTTTTTAATCAAATTATATTAAATTAAATAATAGTTTTTTAATGTAATATATTAATAACTTTTATTAGAATAGGATTGAAATATATCTAAATATTATAGGATATCATAATGAAAATTTTGCTAAACTTATGTTTGTTAATATTTTATATGAATTTTTAAATGACTAAAAGCTTATGAAATAAATTTACAATACATTTCTATTATGAAAATTATTAATATTTATTTGATTAATAGTATTGTTGTCATCAGTATTGGTGTCGTTCAGTGTTTGCATTCACTCACAGATCAAACACTATCCGAACGTAACGCTCGACACGTGTGGTATCGGACGGCAGTCACTGTTGACTACAAAAAACTGTTTCAAGTGGTCATCAAATGTGACTACAAGTGTACAAAACGGACGGTTAGCTCAACCGGGAGAGTGGCCATGGATTGTATATATCTATTCTACATATTATGTTTTAGGGTTTATTCCAACTGAATGGTTTGCAATTTATTATTGTATTTAAAATGATTATTAATATACAGTATATATATATTATATATTATTAATATATATTTATTATATATTATTGAAATATTAAATATAATTTATAGGTCTGAATGTACGGGTGTTATACTAAACACCAATTGGATTATAACAGCAGCGCATTGTATAGAGTATGTAATATTAATATATTTTTAAAAAATATTTGACAACAAAAATTAAATTTACTTTTATTTTAAATTAATATTTTCTATTTACTAGTGATTTTTGTTGTTGTAGATATTTCTAAAAACAACATCATATTTTTTTATGTAAAATCTATTATTAAATAATTTATAATTTTTATAACAATTTTATATCAAATTTATTTATTTAGTAATCATTATTTTTAATAAATATTTCTAAAACAATACCTAATCTAAATTAAATTACTATTTAATACTAAAGACATAACAAAATTTGTATTACAATTATTATTATTATAACAGTTCCGATCGTACGATAACTGTTCGGACAGTTCAGGATATGGGAGATAATAGCCATACATACGGTGTTAACCAATGGTTTATACATCCAAACTATACGAGTAAAACAAAAGAGATGTATGACATCGCGCTATTGAAACTGAATAGTCATTTAGGGATTCAAAGATCAATGAATGGCAGATATTATACGGTTAACAGTATTTGTTTGCCCGACAGAGACATTGTTAACACCGACGATGAAGAGTTGGCACTGTTTGCTGGTTTTGGTCGAACTGATGCGGGAATAAAAAATACTGGACCATTGAGGACGGGTTGGTTGAAATTATTGAAAACATTGAATACTAATAAGGATTATTGGGGTAATCGTATTCAAGCGCTTAGATATCCAATCGATAAAGGAATCGGTGTTTGTATGGTCAGGAACTCTATGAAAAGAAAACTATAATTTTTTTTTTTGATTAAATTTGAATTTTTCTTTTAATTTATTAATAATTAGGGCGATTCTGGCGGACCATTGATTCAGTATGTTTCGGGTGGCAGTAGTGGTAGTAGTTATGATGGTATGGTTAGTCGGGCCGTACATATTGGTGTTGGCAAAGGTTATTCGGGTAATCCACTTATTGGCGGTTGTCTTAATCCTCTACCAAATACTTATATGACTTTTATACGAGTGTCCAAAAAGATTGATTGGATTATTAAAACTGTTTTAAATAATTAATTAAACATTTTTTTTGTATTCTTATAATACATTATATATTAACACAATTTTTTACATTTTATACTAATATCTAGTAATTTCATTAAATAAGTAGTAGATTATTCTATAAATAATTTAAAAAATATATATATATATATATATATATAATAAAATAATAAATATCAATGATTTTGTAGATTATTCATTTAATAATCAATAATTTTTAAATAGTATAATACTGTCTATAAAAAAATTTTTGTTGTATCAATTAATTAAACATTACTATTTCTTATAATATATTTTATAATAACACATTTTTTAAAAATATTTTAGTTTTATATTGTTATTTAGTTATTATATTCATTAAGTAGTATATTATTACAACGAGATAATTTCAACAAATATAAAACAAGTGTCAATGATTTACTATAATATATATTTTATTAATATACTATATTATTCATTCATATAATTATAAACTTTTAAATAGTATAATATTGAATATAAAAGTTTTAATATTATTGATCCGATTGATCTAAAATTTAATATATATATATGTGTAAAATTATAATATATATTAAAATATATCAATTAAAATATTAATTTCCAAAATTTATCTTAACCGCCCCTGCTACTTTATATTATTGTTTAAATATAATTAAATTAATAATTAATTAAAATAAAATAATTAAAAAATAGTTTTCTTAATTTCTTAATTGATAATAATTTTTTAAAAAAATATTCTATTGTATTACAAAATTTTAAAAAAATAATTTATTAACATTTTTCTGTTTTTATAAATATTATATAAATAAATTATACACGATAATCTACTACTTAATTAATGTAATAACTAAATATTGATAAAATCTAAAATATTTAAAAAACGTGTTATTATATAATACATATATTCTCTATACTCTCTGGAAATTTCCAGGAATTTTATATTAATTTCTATTACCAACTATTGATTTTTAACTTTGTTATTAGACATGTTATTAAAAAGATTACAGAATATATTACTAAATTTATTGTATACTGAATTTACTATATAATTAATTTTATATTCAAATAATTTAAAAACTATCTTATTAATTATTTAAAACAGTTTTAATAATCCAATCAATCTTTTTGGACACTCGTATAAAAGTCATATAAGTATTTGGTAGAGGATTAAGACAACCGCCTATAAGTGGATTAACCGAATAACCTTTGCCAACACCAATATCTACGGCCCGACTAACCATACCATCATAACTACTACCACTACTGCCACCCGAAACATATTGAATCAATGGTCCGCCAGAATCGCCCTAATTATTGATAAATTAAAAGAAAAAAATTAAAATTTAACCGCAAAAAAATATAATATAGTTTTAATTTGTTGATAAATCTAACCAAACAAACACCCATTCCTTTATCGATTGGATATCTAAGTACTTGAATACGATTACCCCAATAATCCTTATTAGTATTCAATGTTTTCATTAATTTCAACCAACCCGTCCTCAATGGTCCCGTATTTTCAATATCCGAATCAGTTAAGCCATAACCAGCAAACAGTGCCAACTCTTCAACGGTATTAACAATGTCTCTGTCGGGCAAACAAATACTGTTAACCGTATAATACCTGCCATTCATTGATCTTTGAATCCCTATCTGACTATTCAGTTTCAATAGCGCGATGTCATACATCTCTTTTGTTTTACTCGTATAGTTTGGATGTATAAACCATTGGTGGACATCATATGTATGGCTTTCATCTCCCGTATCCTGAACTGTCCGAACAGTTATAGTCCGATCTGAACTGTTATAATAATAATAATAATAATAATAATACAAAATTGTTATTGAAATTGCTACTAAATAGAAACAGTAGAAATAAAATAAATGTGAAATAATTAATTTTTTGAAAAAAAAATCTGATTAAAACTTAAGCCAACCGCGACTTAATAGTCGTATTTTTTGTGAATACTATATATTTAAAAATATATATTACTGTATACAATGTGCTGCTGTTATAATCCAATTAGTGTTTAGTATAACACCCGTACATTCGGACCTATAAATTAGATTTTAATAATCATAGAATTATAAAAAAATCCATAATAATTATTTGCAAACCATGCCCTCGGTATAAAACCCAAAAAATATAATTTTGAATGGATATATACAATCCATGGCCACTCTCCCGGTTGAGCTAACCGTCCGTTTTGTACACTTGTAGTCACATTTGATGACCACTTGAAACAGTTTTTTGTAGTCAACAGTGACTGCCGTCCGATACCACACGTGTCGAGCGTTACGTTCGGATAGTGTTTGATCTGTGAGTGAATGCAAACACTGAACGACACCAATACTGATGACAACAATACTATTAAATGAAAAGAAATAATAAATATATTTACAAAAATTTGTTAAACAATTTATGTAAAAAAACTAAAATTCATTAAATGTTTATAAATAATAATAAACAATACATATGTTTTGCATAATTTTCATTTTGATACGATATTTACAATAACTTAATAATTAACTTATTATAACTAAATAATTAAATTAATGTTTTTTAAAAAATATTATTTTTATTCTTATACTTCTATATTCTATAGTATATCGTAATATAATACTTATACTTATTTTAATGCATAAACTTTTCGATTATTAAATTGTTTTAAATTTCACTAAATTTTTTGTTGTTATTCAAAACATTTAATAAAAAGCTTTTATAGTAATAGTCACTAAAATATTATACCTATTAATAATATAAGTAATTAAATATTTTGGTTTAATGTTTTTATTTAATTTTTTTTGTTGTTTTTAAAAGTTTTAAATTATAGCTTAAATAAAATAATAATATATTTTTTAAAATTAAATATTACGATTAATTCGTCATATTTATGGTTCATATAATAATTTGTATGAAATCTAAAGCACTGGTCGTTCATAATGTATGACTACCCGACCGATACCACAGTTTAAAGTTTTTTTTTAAAAAAATTATATTATTATTTTTTATATTAATTAATTATTTAATCTATTGTAGTATTTATAAAAAAAACTTAAAAAAAAGTAATCAAATATTTTTTTTATTAAATTTGTAATACAATAGAATAATATATAAATATCTTTAAAGTATTGATTATCAATTAAGAAATTTAAAACAATTTATTTTTGAATTTTTATTGTTTAAACAATATTATCTTTATTTTAGTATTTAATAGTGTTATATAAAATTTGATAATAAATTGTATTGTTTTTTTTTGTAAATTAATATACTATATACATCATGAGATTTAATAGAAATTTAATATAATATATTATATGAATACTAATTAAAAGATATATATTTATAAATAATGATACTTAATGTTTAAGAAAAATTAATATTCAGTTAATTTTATCTCAGATTATTATAAGTTATTAATACTTTATAAAAAACAACAATATTTTTTAAAAGTAAAAGTTTTTATCAAATCAATAAAATTACAAACTAAATGAAATGTTAACATTATGTTTGTATATTTATTTACTTAACTTTAAAATAAAAAAGGATTATTTTGAAAACATTTTTATTATTTAAATTAAATATATTAAATATATAATTATTTTGATTAATAGTATTGTTGTCATCAGTATTGGTGTCGTTCAGTGTTTGCATTCACTCACAGATCAAACACTATCCGAACGTAACGCTCGACACGTGTGGTATCGGACGGCAGTCACTGTTGACTACAAAAAACTGTTTCAAGTGGTCATCAAATGTGACTACAAGTGTACAAAACGGACGGTTAGCTCAACCGGGAGAGTGGCCATGGATTGTATATATCTATTCTACATATTATGTTTTAGGGTTTATTCCAACTGAATGGTTTGCAATTTATTATTGTATTTAAAATGATTATTAATATACAGTATATATATATTATATATTATTAATATATATTTATTATATATTATTGAAATATTAAATATAATTTATAGGTCTGAATGTACGGGTGTTATACTAAACACCAATTGGATTATAACAGCAGCGCATTGTATAGAGTATGTAATATTAATATATTTTTTAAAAATATTTGACAACAAAAATTAAATTTACTTTTATTTTAAATTAATATTTTCTATTTACTAGTGATTTTTGTTGTTGTAGATATTTCTAAAAACAATATCATATTTTTTTTATGTAAAATTTATTATTAAATAATTTATAATTTTTATAACAATTTTATATCAAATTTATATATTTAGTAATCATTTTTTTTTAATAAATATTTCTAAAACAATACCTAATCTAAATTAAATTACTATTTAATACTAAAGACATAACAAAATTTGTATTATTATTATTATAACAGTTCCGATCGGACTATAACTGTTCGGACAGTTCAGGATATGGGAGATAATAGGCATTCATATGGTGTTAACCAATGGTTTATACATACAAACTATACGAGTAAAACAAAAGAGATGTATGACATCGGGCTATTGAAACTGAATAGTCATATAGGGATTGGCTGGAAGGCGATCCCCGACTGGTCTTACCATTGCTTCGGGAGATTAGTCAACGAAAGTAACTATTGATTATAATTATAGTTAATAATTTATTATTAGTTATTAAAATTTAATGCAAAAAATTTACATGTAATAATACAGTCTCATAGCATTCATTTCGACGAGTGAGTCAATAATATCGACGAAAGAGTGAATGAATTCGACGGTGAGATAAACAATTCGATGAATGCATTATTGAAATCGACGTATATTTTAAACAAATATTTATTAGCAATGTTTTACAATAATATACAAATAGTAGTTAAATTAATTATAAATAATTTTTTTGTTAAGACATGAAAAATAAACAGATACTGTATTTTTAGAAAAAACAATACAAAAACATTTGAGTTTAAAATGAAAACAATAAGATTTTTTTGTGTACAGTTTGTGACATTCGATATATACGTCGATTTCAATAATGCATTCATCGAATTGTTTATCTCACCGTCGAATTCATTCACTCGTTCGTCGATATTATTGACTCACTCGTCGAAATGAATGCTATGAGACTGTAAATAGAAACAAATAAACCTTAATAATTTGAAAAGTTAGTTGTAAATAAAATAAATTGGCAAACATTTTTTATTGCATTTTTTTGACAAAATTGTTTTTTTGCCAAATTTTACCAATAAATTCCCAACGATAGTGTCCAACGGCATCGATACTTGACAGCCGTACGAGTAATAGACGCATCGGGAGTTCTATAACTGTTGTACTGTATATGACTGTTTGAGCCGTTAGTTATAAGTAGTGTTGGTAATTTTTAGCAATTCAATTTTCCGATTGCCGCAACTGCGGAAAATTGCTTAAAATTTCACGCATAAGGGAATGTATAAAAATTAAATTTGACAACGTTAAAAATTTGGTTTACTATAGATTACGATAATTTACTAATATATTTTTAAATGATTTTTAGATGGCAACATTCTATGATAAAATAATTAAATTTTATATAATTAATTTTGGTTTTTATTCATATTGATTTGCCATTTAAATTTTGTTTATTTTTTAAAAAATTATAAATTGTTCTACACAAACTAGTTTTTTGTTGTTGTAATTCTGGCAATTTCCGAGCAATGCAATTGCGCATTTTGCAATCGCTACATCACTAGTTATAAGCTAACTTTCCGTACAATAGCCAACAATATCCAGTATTAGTTATGTTAAACAAAAAAAAATTAAATGTATTTATTTTCCAAAAACCCTATTATATTAAACATACAATTAAAAATACAATAGTATTACATTATTACCCAAACAATTTTTTGTTTTATAAATAATAATTAATCTATATACAGTATAATAAAATTTAGTGTTTTTGATTTCAGGGGTGGTGTATATGGGGGGGGGGGGGTAAAATAAAAAAATTAAAAAAAAGTTTGGGGCGTGGATAGTGGGGTGTACATTTTTTATTGTAAAGTATATTAAACAATGTATTGGTGCAATTGTATTTTTAGCTAAATTTGACTAAATTACAACTATATTGTCAATAAATTAAATCAAATAAATTCCTTCTAAAGTCCCTACTAAATTATTATCAGTAGTTTAATTTAATATTAATAAAAGTTAGTTAAAAATTTATAATAAGTTATCTATTATTTTAATTTTTTAAAAAAATAATTAATTTTATTATAAAAAAAACATAGACATAGTTAGTACAGTTTGTCTAAAATATAGACTATATATATATATATATATATATATATATATATATATATTAGTAATAAATCAATATAACAATTTAATTTAATTATAATTAAACATACAGTAGTATAATAAAAAATTATTATAATTATAATAAACTGCAAACAAAAAAAATATAATGATTTTATCTTTTTCCCCATTTATAATTATGAATTTTTTAATTTTTTTCTTAATTTTATAGAAAAAAATTATTAATTAATGAATATGACATATCCTTTTTTTTGCCCAAATCGAATATGAACATACCATACCCTCATCACAATCGGAATTTCTTGTACAATCGTCATGTTCATTAGACGGCATACAACTGGCCAAACAGCTTATATAGTACAGTACTATGACAACCAGCAATGCTGCCAACATAACCGATCGCTGATTATTACTACTACGAGTAGTAGTAGTAGTAGTAGTAGTAGTAGTAGTAGATAGACCATAGCTGACCATTAAATTTTTGTTAACATTGTTGTCCTGAATCATCATCATCATTAGCGACAATTATAAATGATTATATAAAACTATAATAATAATAAAGATTAAAAACAATAATATTAATAATAAATAATATTATTTTTAAAAAAGTTTTTAAAATTATTATAAGATAAAATTTTATTACCGATTTGCTTGAATTATAACTGTTTGTTAATCTAAGCTTAAAATACTCAATATATATATGTTTGTTGTTAATGACGTAAATTATAAAAATTTTGTAATATTCAAAGCAAATATTTTTAATTAATACAATTGAAAATAATATGTTTAATAAAAAATTAAAATTATTTTTTAAAAATAATAAATGCGTCAATTATTTATGCGTCATGTTGAAATATTTTTAGCTATTTAACAAACTCCTGAAAGAAGTACTTATCAGAATTCAATATGTCTGTAGAAATCTGAGGTCAAAGGTTAAAAAGTTATTTACATTTATAATCTATAAACTTATAATAATATACACTATAATATTCAAGTTTTACTAAATGTAATATGAATGTAATTATGATTACTTTTGTTAGTTTAGTTTAGGTTAGACTAAGTTAATGGCGGCCGATAGGCCGATAGTTATTTTAGATTAAGTTAGGCTAGGTTAGGTTAGGTTAGGTTAGGTAAGGTAAGGTAAGGTAAGGTAAGGTAAGGTTAGGTTAGGTTAGGTTAGGTTAGGTAAGTGCAACCGCATTAAGCATCAAAAATACGATTTAGATTTAGATTTAATAGATTTTTATATTTCAGTCAAAATATAATAGAAAATTTAAAACGTCATATTTTTTT